TCGTTTAGAAGCAATAGTGTCGCTTCCTGCCTTTTTAATCACTTTGAAACGCTCAGGTTGAAAATTAGGTTCTAGTTTTCCACTCTCATAATTTCTGATCATCACCGAGTCTCCGACGGTAATATCGGACTGTTTCGCGTGTCTCCGTTTGTCCGCGTATATTTTACCAGCCATCTTTTTTATTGCATCGTTCTCTCGAATTCCTTCATAACGCAAATCCGCCTCAGTACTAAGGCTAGGCAGCAGGTCTTTTACCAGTCTCCCCATTAGAAGCTCCAGTGGAGCCTTTTCAGTGACGGAATGTGGAGTAGTATTGTAGATGTATACATACTCAGAAAGTGCCATACGCCAGTCGCTGTTCGTCACTTATGCAATACGCAGAGATCTCAGAGTTCCTTGGTTTTGTCTTTCCACCAGGCCATTCATCTGAGGCCAGTATGGAATCGTCCTTACCAATCGAAGTTACCTGTCTCACTCGCGAACAACTTATTACAAAACTAGCTTCTACATACCATCAAGTTATCCGTATCTCATCCGGTCTACTACCATCCACACCTGCAATTGCAGCTTGCGTCGAAAGTGGAGTACATACTACCATTCAAACTTTTAGTTACTCAGGCCATCTGCAACCGACCAATTAGCTTCGAGGAGAAGACAGCTGGCTCAGATGAAAGAGTTTTCCTCCTTACCTAGGCTAAACAGCTCCTCTAAGCCATCGCCAATCTGGAGCTCCCCCCGGTGTCTAGCATACATTGGTATGGAGCCAGAGATTGAAACCAGCCCGGCCCCATTATCGACTTGGCGATAAAGAAGAAGTTCAAGGCACGATTGTGAGATCTGTCGTGGAACTCCAGAGAACCAGATACTGCAACCACACTATCCGTTACTCCGACGGATCGGTTTCCCGTGAAAGGGTTGGCATCGGCATCACGGGCCCCCAAATGTCCGTACTTCATCGACTTCCAGACCATATTCTCGGCAGAAGCGGTCTCAGCTTTTATTGCTGCTACCACACCCTCAAACAAGCCGATTGCCGTATTTACGGACTCCGCAAGTGTAGTTTTAGCCCTCAACTCAGACTCTATCAAGCACTCATGGATCCAAGCCATTCAGCGGTATGCCCCCAGAAACACTACGTTTGTATGGATTCCGGGTCACTGCGGCATTCGTGGTATTACAGAGGCGGATCATATAGCGGCTTCTGGAAGACAAACCCAACTGTTTACCAAGGAGGTTCCAGCGGGGGACCTGAAAAAATGGGTTGCCAACAAAATCTGGGACTTATGGTCACATACATGGTCCCTATCAACAAGCATTTTCCATAGAAAGGTGAAGGCTGATACACGAAGATGGGAAGACCTTTCTGACCACCGAACTCAGGTTTTACTGGCAAGACTCAGAACAGGCCATATCAGAGTCTCGCATAACTTTTCAGGGGGGTTTTGAGCACTCGACAAACTGTTGTTTTCGACACCTTTAGCACTTTAGCCAGCTTGGCACCGGACCACTCTGGATTTTCCAGGTATTTGTGCACAATATTTTCGAGTTCCATTTGGCGTTATTTCTGAACGCGATCGCCTACTTTGATCAATCTTGCACCAGTTGTTCTCTTTAGAAGTATAAACAAACCACTGTTAAACATTTTCGATTCCCAACACTAGAGGCGTGCTAGCGGCGTGCGAAAGGGTTTACCAATTTACTTTTAGTCAGTCTTTAACACCAAAAAACTGCACAATGCCGTGTCTCTCATCAAACAGCTACTTAATCATGCTTTATATTATAAGCTTTATAATTAACATATTATTACGTCCGTACTGAGCACCAATGCTACCGACGCCACGGAGGCAGCTTCCACACCTAGACCCTACCTATCGACCCATCAACTCATGAGCCGGGGATCAACGGCTTTACTTCCCTTCGTGATCTTTAATAATGCATAACTATTTCTCGAATCTTTTTTAAATGGACGTATCAGCTTTTGTAAACAATGCATTTGATCGTCGATTTGGCATAACTGGTAGCACGCACACGCTTACTAACACCACTAGCAGGTAGGGGAAAATTTCCCCTATCTGATTGTAGTGTTAGCATGCGTGGGCAAGCTACCAGTTACGCCAAATCGACGATCAAATGCATTGTTTGCAAAAGCTGATACTTCCCTTTGAAAAAATTATCGAGTTTTATTTCTACGTTTGGCTGAAAAACAATCATCCGCAAAGCTGTAGCTGTGAAAATGTTCGATAAGTAGTTGAGTAGTTGATTGTAGTGTTAGCATGCGTGGGCAAGCTACCAGTTACGCCAAATCGACGATCAAATGCATTGTTTGCAAAAGCTGATACTTCCCTTTGAAAAAATTATCGAGTTTTATTTCTACGTTTGGCTGAAAAACAATCATCCGCAAAGCTGTAGCTGTGAAAATGTTCGATAAGAATAGCTATAGAACTTTTTATCAGAGTAATATGGAAAAAGACTAGAAGACAATGTACAAAAAGTTCAGTTTTACCATAGTAATTTCCATATAAACTTCAAATGGTTTGTGCCAAGCCAGTTTCTTACCAAACATGTTCAAATTTTGGGAGGCTAATCAGGACCTAATTGAGCACTGTGAAACGAAAATATCAAATTTAGCATCACTCTAATGCTCATTGTATGTCGATTGTTTAGCGTAAGTCCAGGCAAGTAGAAAAAACTGACCAGCACTTAAATTCAACTAAATTAAATAGTATTTGTAGGGCAGATGAACCAGTTATGGGTATACGTTCCAATTATGGTGTGTTTGACTATAAAAATATCTTTGTAGAGTATTTATATTTTTTTAATCACCTGGCAAAGCTATGACAAAAAAAAATAATTTAAATGATGCTACACTTAAAACTCCACAAATATCCATAATCAAAGCAACAGATAGATAAGTGGTGTATTCAGCAAAATTGTATCTAACAATATTTTCTACAACTTTGTTGAATACATCAATTCATGATTTGCCCTGATGAATGCGGACGTCTTAGTGGAAGACCTGTATTAAAAGAGAGAGAAGGATTAGTAATTTACATTTAATTCCACTACCTTATTTGCTTATCCTGGACAGATACGCGTATTTCGTCTACAATTTGCAGTTCTTCAGTGTCAAGGATAAGCAAATAAGACAGTGGAATTGAATGGAAATTACTAATCCTTCTCTCTCTCTCTTTTTATAATCATGATTTGCGTTTGTAAGAAAAAAATATGTTTCTCACTTTTAAGGAGAAATATCACAAAACCGCTTACGTTATAAGATGGAGATTATTTGACTGGCTATGAATTTGAAGTAGAGCAAGGTTGGTAATGAAATTATCGTTGTTAAGGGGAAGTTTACCGGCCCGAAAATAAAAAATATTTTTGGTACGTTTTTATTTTTCTAAAAATATTGGGAAAAATTATCAAAAATCCAATAAAATCCGTTTATTCCTTAGATTTTTGTCGAAAATTAAATGAAATTTTTTTTTCTATCTCATCATGAAAAAAGTTGGACCCTCAACAAAACCAAACAATCGATGTTTTGTGGTTTTTTGAGTTCAACTTTACGCCATAATGACTTATAAAAAATGTTTTTGCATGTGAAATTTCTTTGAAAAATTAGAAAAAATGTGATTTTTTTAGATTTTTGATAGCGGTGAACTCCCCCTTAACGTCAGCGTTAACGTCTTCAATGAAAATTCCCATTGAAGACGTTAACTGCGTTAACGTCATTAACAACCCTGCTCTAGAGACACTATGGTTCAAAAATCAACTTTTCGTGGAGCAATTTCAATAACGTTTTTAACATTAACGTTTTTTTTTTTTTTCAATAATGTTTTTACTTTGTTACATAGCTAAAATAACAAAACATGATGGGATTAATTTCTCTCCATCTTGTTTACCTTTGCCAACTATCCTCCTCTTATCAAATTTGTTTTCAGCTGGCTGCTTCGATAGAGATTGACTGACTTAATAGGGTTACCTTGTCAACAAAAAGATTCGTTTGCCGTCGATAATATTATGTATATCCCCTGAGATCACGTGTGTTTGGTTATATTTCCATTTCAATAGAATTCGATTCGACCCAAAGTTTGGCTTCTATCTCGTGGTTCAGTGATAGCAAATCATCAACCACATCCGGCTATTGAGCAATCCTCCAGCAGCTCTATTCTACCGGCACGGAGGCAACATAAATCTGCAGGCCGTTGTAATTGAATAAAAATTTGCTCATTCTTTCGTCGGGAATCCTCTGAAACGATGGATGATAGATGCAAGAAGCGGGGTGGTGTTATAATGTCAACATGAGGGTGGAAAGATTCGCCCTTTATCTGTGATTTTCTGATTGTCAAGTGAATGGGGGATGTTTGCTCACACACTTTTCCTGTCTAATGCAATCTGTTAGGTAGGGTTAAAACACTCGTCCAAGTTTTAATCCCTTGTTCAAATAGAATCTCGGGATGGAGTGAATTTATTAGCGATTTCTGGGATTGAAGGCATATGCTCGATGAAGATTGAGTGTTGATTGGATTTGCATAAGTCTAACCAGTGGTGCTATAGGAGCTGCATATTGTTGTCTCATTTCCAACCGAAATCACATTGCATTCCTGTGCGGATGTTTGTTGTTTGGAATCAAAATCCCTCATTCAGTAACTGCCAGTGCCACAACTTGGTGGATTATTACGCTACATTTCGTCCAATAAATGATCACAAGCTCCCAGTGCAGCTCACGTCAAGAGCCATCAGGAAAATCCTTCGGTATCCCCAATCTCGTTCAAACGAGACGGAAAATTGCGATAGATTTTCCTCTACCATAAGCGACTTGTGTTGTGTGCCTGTCTATAAAGTGTATAGAGTAGGGACTAAACCAGAGGATTTTCTCCAATAATTAATGATCAAGATTACATTCAGTTATCTCGGATAGGGTGCATTTCGAAAACCCCTAGCAATCCCTGTACTATGATGGATCGATAGTCTAACAAAGCTGCTTTATCTATTTTTTCTAGGTCATCCCCGCTTCTTCAACCAACTCTCCAGCGGTCTGGACGTAGTTTCAATGGCGGGAGAATGGCTTACCGCGACCGCCAATACCAACATGTTCACGTATGAAATTGCACCGGTGTTTATTCTGATGGAAAACGTGGTGTTATCGAAAATGCGCGAAATCATCGGATGGAAGGGTGGTGATTCGATTCTTGCCCCCGGAGGTTCAATTTCCAATCTGTACGCTTTCCTGGCCGCTCGGCATAAGATGTTCCCAGGCTACAAAGACCAAGGAGCCCGTGCCTTACCCGGTGAGCTGGTGATGTTCACGTCGGATCAGTGCCACTATTCGGTAAAATCATGTGCCGCCGTTGGTGGACTTGGAACGGATAACTGTGTCATGGTTCCATCGGATGAATATGGAAAAATCATACCATCAGAACTGGAGCGTCTAATTTTGGAACGAAAAGCACGTGGACAGATTCCGTTCTTCGTCAATGCCACAGCAGGAACCACGGTACTGGGATCGTTTGACTCGTTGAATGCGATTGCCGACATCTGCGAAAAATACAACTGCTGGTTCCACGTCGATGTAAGTTGAAAATTGCACTTCCGTTCGAAAAAAGGTTGATTGATTTTCTCCCCTATTTTGTTCCTCTTTTTCTTCCATAGGCCGCATGGGGTGGAGGCTTATTGTTTTCCAAGAAGTATCGCCATCCAAGATTCTCCGGAGTTGAACGGTGAGTTTATTCATTGTGATGATTATTCTCTTGAAAAATATAAAACCGTCATACAGCCTTTCTACTGATGGGCAAAAAATACTTTCAATCTCAACCCGGGCAGCACGCTTCACAGCAGCAAAACAATCACAAGCCAGAATTTCTCAGTTGTTCATTTAGCCTTTGGGTGTAGGACTTTAATCATTCATCTTTTGTCACTCCCCTATGGCAGAAAAGTGGAAGGAACGAATTGATTGCAGCTTTGAAGGGTGTAGGAGTCAAATTTTCCCAGCACAGATTAGAAAACGATTTTTCTTCAGCTCGTCAAAATTGAAGCTGGGTGCAGATATATGAAAACAACATGATAAATTGATGAATGAGAACGAAAAATGGCACAATGAAAGTAGTTAAAATATAAAATAAATTTGTTATTGGAATATGTATGAAAGTTTTGCATAATGTCCCAAATATATATTGAGGAATGAAAATTGATCATTCTCTAGCAGCACACTTTTTACAAAACCGGTGAGGCAACTTTTATGTGACTTATTTCAGTCATAATCAAGTTGCTGTCAAATTGTAATTCCTTATGTAATCGAAGTAATCTTAGTAATCCCAGGAATCAAAAGGAACAAAAGTATTCGCAAGTAACAAAACTAATCTAAAAGTAAAAAATTAATTTTCATAATTGTATAATAAAGGGTGTCCACGATGAAATTGCCACACTATGAAATTGTCGCGAGTGATTAAGCGGTTCGAGGAACGGTTGACCACCGATCGGAAGCCCAGAAGTGAAGGAAAAAGTATTCCGTACAACACCAAAAATCACAACCGCGTAGTTGGGGCCTTCAACCGAAATCCGAACGCCTCCGTTAGGGATGTGGCTAAGAAGCTGCACCTAAGCCGAAGTTTTGTCCAGAGGGCCAAAACTAAGGCTGGGCTTCGAACGTTCAAGGTACAAAAGGCCCCTAATCGCGACGAGAAGCAGAACAAGTCCGCCAAAACCCGTGCCAGGAAGTTGTACCTCAACATGCTGACGAAAGTTGAATGCTGCATCATGGATGACGAAACATATGTGAAGGCCGACTTCAAACAGATCCCCGGCAACCTGTTTTTCACGGCCAAGGATAAGTTCAGCGTTCCGGAGCATGTCCGCACTCAGAAGATGTCCAAATTTGCGAAGAAATTCCTGGTTTGGCAAGCCATCTGTACGTGCTGGAAGCGGAGTGCACCTTTCGTGACCCAGGACACGATGAACGGACAGGTGTACATAAAAGAGTGCCTCCAGAAGTGGCTGCTTCCTCTCCTGAAGGCCCACAACGTCCCAACAATCTTCTGGCCGGATTTGGCCTCATGCCACTACTCCAAGGACGTGCTGAAGTGGTATGCGGACAATAAGGTCAATTTCGTGCCGAAAATGTTCAACCCTCCCAACACTCCGGAGCTCCGCCCCATCGAGAAGTACTGGGCGATTATGAAGCAGCACCTTCTTAAACGACCTAAGGTAGTGAAGACAGTCGAGGAACTGAAGAAAGTATGGGTTTACATGCAAAAAACGGTTGATTCACAGGTTGTGCAGAATCTTATGGCCGGGGTTAAGGCCAAGGTGCGGGCATTTGCGTATGGACTGTAAATAAAATTCGAGTAAAATGGTAAAATGAAGTTTAATAGTTATTTCTCAATCCCTGAAAATTTGATGGCAATCGGATGAAAACTCGAATTTTGCGAATCAATTTTGTGTGTGGCAATTTCATCGTGGACACCCTTTAGTCAAAGTTTCATGGTCATTTGATAGACACTGACCGGTAATGATGATAGAATGCCCTAAATAATATTTATATACGAACTGCACTACAAACTGTACATTATCGAACTTAAATATTCGCCGAATTACGTTTAAAATATTTTCATGATTATCCGATTATTTGCGAAACAGCATAAGTTATTGAAGTTACCCATAAATAATTGAGGATTAATTTGAATTACGTAACCATTCAAAATTAAATAATTATTTCGAAAAATGCAGTAATCATTGACTAATGGTCTTCTTCAAAGCTTGATAGATACCTCTCTTGAAAAACCTTGTAACAAAACATGTAACAAAACATTTGGTTTTCCCATAGTAATTTCCATATAAATTTCAAATGGGTTTTGCCACGTCAGCTTCTTACTAAATTAGTTCAATTTTTGGAAGGCTAATCAGGACTCAATTTGGAACCATTTGAGCTCAGTGGAGCAAAAAATTCAAATTTTGCATCAGTTTAGTGCCTTGGTTGTAGCTCGTCGAAGAAAAGAAAAGTTTACAACTAGAATCGAAGGTTGGCAATCACGTTACAGAGCCTTATGGGAAGCTTCATGTATGTAATGACTTCGATACGTCCGGTCAGTTCTAAAAGCAACCTGGTCATCAATATTGGATCGCACTGATGTGAAAAGTGCGCTACTTTAAGAAAAAAGTGACCTAGTGAATAAATAAAAAAATCAAAAATGGTTTTCTCTGAGGCATCACTTTAGATTGGAAAAAGCTCTCGTCGTTTTGTGCGAAATACTAATAGGAAAACATTGAGAAGAGCTGTTTGAAATCTGAAGTGATGACTCAGAGAAAACCATTTTTGAAATTTTTATTTACTCACTAGGTCACTTTCACCTTAAAGGTTTGAAGAATTTGATGCTGGGACTAAAATAGAATGACCAAACAAATCCACTAGTCGGATATGCCGAAGTAGCTTGGGCTGTGGACACAGCCGATCGCAAGTTGGTAAGCAGATTCCTATCGTAGGTGTACGTATACACCGATTAGTTGTCCAGTTAAAAGCAAACTACTGTTACGTTACCACATCATCGAGCGAGGCTTAATACGTGGATTTGAGTTCTGCAGCTGTTGAAGCTATTCGGCTCACAGGAATCATAAGGTACCTTGGGTTGAAATATGTCGAGTCTGTTCCGTTGTTCGATGACAGTTCGAAGAACGTTATAACATTTCGTTCGAGATCATGTGAAGGCGAAGTAGGACTCGATTATTTGAATCGATCGTAACAGTGGAAAATATTCATTAATCTTTAACAACCGGTTGAAGCAAACCATCGCTTTCAAATCGTTCCCAAAATAAAATTTCCTTAGTTCTCTTTATTCCGTGATCTTTCTACGGAGTCCCTGTTGTAAATTCCATAATAATAATGTTGGGAAATGTAAAGGCATCACGTTTACGCATGCTTGGTTCCAAATTATGTACGACATGCTGCTGCTCTCGCCATTGGAGAGGGTCAGTTCGATCAAGGATTTAGAAGTCATTCGTGAAAGCAAGTTGCGTTTCCATGAACACAGCTTGGTGGCAGTCGTCAAAGCTTATGGGATACTTGGATTCTCACACTGTTCATGTACGACAAATCTTTCAGAAACGCTTCGTCAGGTATACTTTACGTGGTCACCTTGGTATAATCCCTCTAACCAACAACCTTATGAACAATGATGTGCACTTATTGGAATGAAGACTTTAGGAAGCAGACGATTGATACTACAAAGGTTGTACATTTTCATAATTGGAACTGCCAACATTGGATTTAATATACTTCAGAGTGTGTGCTTATATCATCGACAGACATGATTGTAGTACCGTTATACCAGTACAACGGTACTACAACCATGTATGTCATAGTATTATATGCACCAGCTGGTAGAGCTACGATATCAACAAATCCTGTATAACTTAACATAGCTTATACTAGTTCGCGTTTTTCCGGTAATAGGTATAAAGACAGTACTCGAAAAAATGCAACAGACAAAAATGATCACCAAAAATTTATTTTAAGTCACATATTTTTGAAACTCTCAGAGAATAAATATACACATACACCCAACCGGTGGATGTAAGATTCGCTTACAATTATGTGGGATTCATCATCAGAGGATGTAAGTGGAGACCGCATGAACCGAGGATGCGATACCCTAATAAAAATTGTATGGTTAATTTGCTTAACGACGTGTTCTGGGTATCATCCAAACCATTTGTGGAATAGTTCAATGATTTGGGTTATCGTTCGTTTATGGTTATTTTTTATTAGGGTATACCTAGCTGCGGTCCAATGCAAGAAAATTGGAGACCGAAAAATGTAGAGTGTATTAGTGAGGTAAATTTATTATGTCGAAAAAAAAAATAGGAAAAAGGTTACCGACTGGACTCGAAGAACAACGAACGTTGCGATTATCAGACCTGTGCTTTCTCCACTGCTCTCTCCATGCTTCTGAATAAGGATAGCCTAAAAGCAAACAAGAAGCGTTCCTTTCCTCTCACACTCGACTTCGTATGCTTTTTCTGCTGGAGAGATTCGCGGCAAGAGTGTGCGTCGTTCTACCATGTTATACATAAAAATTAAGGCAAATGCTTGCTTGTGTAGGTGAAAGCACAGACAGAACACGAAATAAAAAAGGCAAAAAACCATTACATCGCCTGTTAGGTCAACTTCTAACATTCGCTGCGATGTTCATGAACAGAGGATGATAGGAAATGGAACTAACATTCATTGTAATAGATTTTTGGTTTGCGTGTACTAGCTATGTTTTTGCAAAGTTGGTTTATTCAACCTCCTCTCCTAGGTTAAATGCCAGCACATTGGACTTAACGCTACCCAGCAAATCCTGTGCAAAACTTGCACCATCTTTCTTACACACTTTCATCCACTCTTTCTTTAAATCCTTGTCGTTTTTGAAGACCATCCCTGTTTTCCGGAGCTTGCCTTTCATAATCGCCCAAAATTTTCCTTTTGGACGAAGTTCTGGCGAGTTTGGCGGATTTGCCTCCTTGGGCACAAAAACAACATCGCTGGCTTGTACCACTCCATCACCGGTTTCGCGTAATGGCACCTTCGTGGGACTCGAGGAAGGACAGCAGGCGCTTCTGGAGGCATTCTTCTTCTTTGGCCGTTGATGGTGCCGGTCGTTATGTACGACTTGCAGAATTTACCGCACCCACAGATTGCCTGCCACACTAAGTACCTCTTGACAAATTTGGCAACCTTCTTTTCCCAG